GGCCTTTGCTGGAGGGAAACGCTCCGTTTGCCACGGCTCGGTTCACTCCAACGCGCCGGAGCTGCGTTTCCTCCCTCCAGTGCGCCCGCGAGGAGGGATCTGTGGGGATCCAGGGACGCTGGAGGAAGCCGGGCCAGATCCCTCAAGTCAGATCCAGCGCTTGTTTGCCTTGAAGGAAGAGATTTAAAAGAAAAGCCCCGGTCGTGCTTTGCTTTTTTCTGAGGAAAATCTCCTTCAGGGAGGGCTTTGGGGAGGGGGTTAGGGTCTGGTTAGCGACTGAGAGTCCAGTGGAGGGCTACGAGGATGGTGAGGGGACTGGAGCATCTCTCCTATGAGGAAAGGCTGAGGGAGCTGGGCTTGTTCAGCCTGGAGAAGAGAAGGCTGAGAGGGGACCTTATAAATGCTGAAGGGTGGGTGTCAGGAGGATGGGGGCCAGACTCTTTTCAGTGGTGCCCGGCGACAGGACAAGGGGCAACGGGCACAAACTGAAGCCTGGGAAGTTCCACCTGAACCCGAGGAAGAACTTCTTCCCTCTGAGGGTGACGGAGCCCTGGCCCAGGCTGCCCAGGGAGGTTGTGGAGTCTCCTTCTCTGGAGATATTCAAGACCCGCCTGGACGCGGTGCTGTGCACCCTGCTCTGGGTGACCCTGCTTGGGGAGGGGGTTGGGCTGGGTGACCCACAGAGGTCCCTGCCAACCCCGCACGTTCCGTGATTCCATGATTCGATAAATAACAGCAAACATGCTCTGCCCCAGCACCTGGGCTGCGGCATCCGCGTTGTGAAGCATCTGATGGGTGCCACACGCCAGCCCTGCTCGGGATGTGGGCTTGGGAAGGAGTGGGGTGGGATGGGGTGGGGAAGGCGCCCCGCAGACGCGGGTGGGTGCCCAGATGTGCACCATAAGTGGGCGCAGACTCAGGTGGGCGCCCAGATGTGCACGGTAGCTGAGTGCAGGCAGAGGTGGGGACCCAGAGGTGCACCGTAGCTGGGCACAGACGCGGGTGGGCACCCAGATGTGCACTGTAGCTGGGCGCAGACGTGGGTGGGTGCCCAGATGTGCACCGTAAGTGGGCACAGACTTGGGTGGGCACCCAGATGTGCACCATAGCTGAGTGCAGGCAGAGGTGGGCACCCAGATGTGCACTGTAGGTGGGTGGAGATGCGGGTGGGCACCCAGATGTGCACCATAGGTGGGTGCAGACACAGGTGGGCATCCAGATGTGCATGGTGGCTGGGCGCAGATGCGGGTGAGTGCCCAGATGTGCACTGTAAGTGGGCACAGATGTGGATGGGAGCCCAGATGTGCACCATAGCTGGGCGTAGATGCGGGTGGGTGCCCAGATGTGCATGGCAGCTGGGTGCAGACGCGGATGGGTGCCCAGTGGGCGCAGACGTGGGTGGGTGCCCAGATGTGCACTGTAGCTGGGCGCAGACGTGGCTGGGTGCCCAGATGTGCACCATAGCTGGGCGCAGATGTGGTGGGCGCCC